CCCCCGGCGCTGCCCGCCGGCCCTGCCCGCCCTGCTGTGGCTGGCGCTGGCCCCGCTGCCCGGTCCCGCCGCCAGGGCCGAGCTGCGGGTGCGGGTGCGGTTGCCCGGCGGGCAGGTGACGGAGGAGAGCCTGCAGGCCGACAGCGGCTCCGACTGCATCAGCCTGGAGCTGCGGACCGCCGACGGCGCCCTCGTCACCCTCACCGCCGACTTCAGACAGGTAGGGGGCCGGGGGCACAGCCCGGGCCGGAGCCAACCCCTCCGCCCCTCGGGGGGGCGGCCGCGCTGGCCCTTTAACGGCGGGGCGGCGCGCCGGCTCGGCGGGGCCGGTCCCCGGGCCGGGGGAAGGAAGTGACGGGGCGGGGGAGCGAGGGAAGAGCCCGCCGAGGGCTTGAATGAAAAGGGCGAGCGGGCGGCGCGCCCGGCTAGCGGACCGCCGACGGCGCCCTCGTCACCCTCACCGCCGACTTCAGACAGGTAGGGGCTCTGGGGGGGGGAGAGCGGCGATCCCCGCTGCCAGCCCCCGGGGTGCGGGGATGCTGGGCTCTCCCCGGGGGAGGAGGAGGAGGATGCGCCCTCCCATCCCCTCCCGTGGTCCCCCATCCCCTCCCGTGGTCCCCCGGAGGAGGAGGATGCGCCCTCCCATCCCCTCCCGTGGTCCCCCGTCCCCTCCCGTGGTCCCCCGGAGGAGGAGGAGGAGGAGGATGCGCCTTCCCGTCCCCTCCCGCGGTCCCCCGTCCCCTCCCGTGCTCCCCCATCCCGGTGGGATAACCCGGGCTCCCGGGGCTGGAGGTGATGGATCGAGCACCTCCGTCCTGGTCCCGGGAGCAGCGGGACGGGGCTTTGGAGGGTGTTTCTTGTGGGATGGACACGGGTGACATCGGCACGGCGGGGCCTCCCGGCCCTGGGACCAGTTTGGAGCTTGAGAAAACCCCGCGGGAGGGTCCGGAGCTGAGAAGCAGAGTGTCCTTTTGCATCTTGGGGGGGTAAAAAAGTCCATCCACCCCCAGGAGGGTGTCGGGGGCTTTGTTTGCAGGCTCTGTGGAGCAGTGCCCACACGTTGTAGCCCCAAGCCTTCTCGGCAGGCTGCTGTCCCCGGGGGTGCTACACCTGTAACCTGGGATGTGGTGAAAATATGTGGTGAAAAGCCCGGTGGGATGGGTGGCAAAGCCTTCCCCGCACCCAGCTGACCCAGGGAGCCCTGCTTCTCACTGCTGAATTGCAAGTAGCATAGTTTGACATGGATCAGGGCCAGATGGGAAGAGCTCAGGCTCCTGACCCCTGGATGGTGGTGTTCAAGCTCTGCTGTATCTCCAGGACATCCCGTTCCGCGGTGCCTGTGGGGTACAGTAGTTCCTTAGGTGGGTCTTTGGGAGCATACGTATGAGTTTGTGGGGTGGGAAGTGTCTGACTGTGGGGACTGACAGCAGCTCTCCTGCAAGGGGAGCCTTTCCTCCCAGCCCAGCGTGAGAGGTGGCCTCTCTGCAGGGAGGTGATACTCGCTGAGCTGAAGCCCAAGATCCCACACTGCTCAGCAGGAGCTGGTAGCTTCTGGGCCAGCGTGGCGTTCTTCGGAGCGTGCCGAGCCTGGCTGGATGCAGGGAAATTTCTGTTGCACAGGGGAGAACTGTTTGCTGCCATGTGGGTGGCACGGCAGTGTTACCTTGGTCCAACCCTCCGTTCTGACTGTTTGCTCAGGTGGACTTTGGTTTGCGGCAGGAAGAACTGAGCTAGAATTGAATCCACGAGATAGGAAGGTGTTATGCCCTAACCTGTTGCGAAGCTTGAAGCCTCCTGCCAGGGATTGTTCTGGTGCCTCTTCCTCTTTCAGCAACACTCTTGGGTCTCAGTCTCCTTGCAAGCCTCTCAGATGGCCCTCTTCCATCTGGAGCGTGCAGGGTCAAGCCCACCTCTTTCTGAGGTGCTAGTAGAAGCCATGGTGACTTTGGACGTGATGGCACGCTCAGTCTACTCCAGCATACGTGCAGGGAAGCAGTCCTGTAAAAAAAAATAATCCAAGAGACACCACACTAGGGGAGTTAAGGGAGAGAGGAAGAGCTGTTAAGCCTGCAGTTTGCAAACTTGCATACCACAGTGTATTCCTGGCCAAGGGAAATCCAAGCTCATGACAGATCCTCTAGGTAGGCCCTTTGAGAGCTTGGGATGTGACTTGGGGACTTCTGGTGTCCTGAGCTGTTGCTTGTTGCAGCATTTTTCACTTCTTTCAGGTCTTCTCGAGGGGAGCTTGCTCTGAAATCACATCCACAAACCCAACAGAGCCTATGTCAGCTCTTCTCTCGCTTTCATCCTTATCGCAGTTGAGCTCCTTCTGGGGACAAGTTCTCTGAAGTTATCTTGACCTCAGGATGTTAAATCCTTGGCTTCATGCATCCCCTCCCTCCTGCTAGAAATATACAGGAGATGATCCCTGGAAGGCTTTGCGAGCATCAGACTTGCAGAAGTCCATTCCTAATCTTCAGTTTTAGAACGGTTGGGTACTGGCTCTCTCTGTTTTATGACTCTGCTGGAAAATAGCTGAAAAAAAGCCAGAAAGACATAAAGGACTGTGGAGATGAATTTGCAGTGCAGTGAGTAATGATGTGTGCAGGCAGCTGCCTGGCCAGGCTTCCCCTTCTGACCTGTTGTCCTGGCTGCACACAGGCATTTCCCTGCTCTGGTGCTCATCTCTCTAACGTTACACAACTTCTCCTCTCCAGAGAGATGGTCTTGGGGCTCTTCGCCTTGGTGAAAGCAGCTGGCATTGTTGATCTGGCTTTCCCGAGCTAGATTGTGTGGTCATGCTGTGGCCAGGATGCTGGGGTTTTTGCACAAATGATTTTTCCACTTCTCTGGCTTAAACTGCAGGGGGTTAGTCCAAAAGCAGATTATTTTTTTTATTTTTATTTTTTTTTCTTTGATGACGAGGATTTGCTGCTAGACCAGGGGCTGGAGAAGAAAAGAGTTATAATGAGATCAAGGTTTATTTCTCTGCTCTGACAGTGGTGGGAGCTGGGTGGGACTTGAGCAGTGGTTAGTCTTCCACAGAGGTGGAATTTTCATTTCTCTTCCACCCCTGCTTTCCTTCCAGAGCTGAACCTGAAGGACTCGTGTCCTCAGAGTGCACCAGGTGTTTTTTTCTCATTCTCTAGTGTAGCACACACTGGTCAGTGGGAGTCCAAACTGGGATTTGATTTTTTTTGGGGTAGTGCAGGAGCGAAGGCTATTTCTTTTCTTGCAGTTTGAAAGACTGTGAGGAAAACACTTCTTCTTTTCCTGTCTAGTACTGTCAGGCATGAAATGTATTGCAAAAAAAAAAAAGGGGGGGGGGACACGACAGCAACCTTAAATGTTGTGACTAATTTGGATAGAATGATCTTGCCAGTTGCTAAACAGTGGCCTGGGAACAAAGTGGGTGGTTTTATTCCAAGGTCAGCACAAAGATATGGAGAAGTTTCTTTTTCCTTTTGATGGCTGGAAAAGTTGTGTTGGTAACACAAGGGAGAAAGCGTGACAATGGTATTTTAACGCTTACACTGCTAGTCCTTTTAGTTTCCTTATTAATAAAGCAGATGTTATGTGATAGCCTGGGGTGGTACTTTGGGAATTTCCTTATGCCAGGGGTCCATCATGCTAGGTGTTAAATGACCAGGTGATATAGAAAAGCATTTGTCCAAAGATGGTATCTGCATAGTTTGGAAAGCAATCTCTTCTCTGTAGAGATACCAAAATTAAAGAAGGATCATTCAGCACCCTCTGGGAGGGCAGGAAGGGTGTTTGTTACCCTGAGCTGTAGTGAGGCACCTGAAGATGCCCTTCTCTTGAATGGATCACTCAGGTGTGGGTGCTGGGGATGGAGGGCTGAACTCCTGCCTTAGGCCAGAGCTGCCCTTCGCTGGCTCCACGGCTTTGGGGAGGTCACTTGTTGGGTAGGATCCAGTTTCAGAAGTAAAGCACTCTCTGATGGTTACTCTTGGGCTTCTCTCTGGTTGTGGGAGCTGAGCATGAAGATGTTTTTCCAAGCATCTTGGAGCATTGTGGGGATTTCTGGCTGCTCAGTACTTGTGAAAATCAAAGTCAAACCTTGTTGCTTCTGAAAATGTGCTTTTTTGCCCCTCTCCCAGCACATCCTTAATTCACCTATAGAGGTATCTTGAGTATCAGAGGCAGTGCCCCAAAGTGTCTTCATTTTAGCCATTTCCAGTAGGAGAGAGGTTAAAAAAACATAATCCCTAGCCAGCCAGGGTAACGCAGCTGGCTGGACCCCCAGTGTGGATGCAGTAACACGTTCTCTGTGTTCTACAAAGCAGGACAACTTTCTGGCCAGCTCTAGCTCTTCCCCTGGGGGAGCGCAGGCAGGGACCTGACCACAGCAAAGGCGGTAAGGAATCAGGCCCAAGAGTGACAGTGCCCCGAGCAGTGTGTCCCCATTATATGTACCCCCCACTCCGAGCAGGCCTGCGACAGCAAAGACAAAAAGTGGTGGTCCCACAGCAGCACTGATGTCCTTGGGGAAGACAAAAATTGGCAGGAAAGCCGAACGGGTTGTGGGGAGGAAGGCATTGAAATGATTTATTTCCCTGGGAACTGGTTTGCTCCACTCAACGTGAAGTCGAGATGCTGGGCTGGGATCTAGACCACACAGGCTTGTCAGTCTCGGCTGGATAAACCCTAGAAATGGAGGTCGGATTGTTCTCACACCCCAGATGACAGTCCCTGGAGGAGCTGGCTGCAGGCAGCACGAGGAGGGAAGAAGTTCCATGATTTCTCTGCTCCTCCTTGCAGGCTAGTTCTTTGGGGGACGTCCCTTTGGAAGATGCAGGCAAGCTGGGCTGTTGGGAGCTGGGTGCACTGATTTCCTTTCTGCCTTTAGGAAAGAGGAGCTGCTTTCCCCTTGCTGTGAAAGCCAAGGCTGTGGTTTCCTCTGGTGCCATGGTTAGAGCACGGCTGCAGAACTGGTTGTTCTCTGTTACACCAAGCTGTGTCGTCCAGACCCTAAACAATAGCAGTAACTGTACGCGCCGCCCGGGGCAGGGCCAGGGATCCTCGCCCCCGTGATGAGTTCACCCGGAGAGTCCCCGCGTTGCAGAGGCGATGTTCTGCTGGGGCTTGTTCCCTGCTGGGAAATTTTGCAGAAACCCGGAATTAAAGGTGCCGTTTGTTGCCTTGGCCGGGTACCCACCTTGGCAGGGGTTCACCCTGGTGCTGCTGGTGGGAAAGAGCTGAGGTGGCTGGGGAGGGAAAGGCGCTCCCCGAGTAGGGAGAACTTCAGTGGCTCTTTCCGTGTGAGCAGCACGACATGCTTTTGATGTGACAAGCCTTGGTTCTTGCTCCACCTGAGGCTGCATAGCAGGGAAGTGGGGAAAACCAGGGGAGGCTTTGAGACAGAGAGGTGAAGCAGGGCTGGGGAGAAGAGGAGGCTGACTTCTTGGTCAGGAGAGGGTGGTCCTCACAGGATATGTGTCTGGACTGACGTGCAGCACAGTTTTAGCCTTGCTCTGAAATCCACCGTAAGGGTCGTTTTGGGTTTGCTTGGAGCCAGGTAGAGGTGGGATTTCTCCCAGTGCCAGCAAACCTGGGCGATTCCTGTCTTTCCTGGCATGTCTCTCTGGGTATCAACAGATGTGCTGAAACCCCTGAGGCTGGAGTGGGCACTGAAGAGTGCCCAACACCTAGAGTTCAGGCAGCACCAGAGCCCTTTTCATGGCAGAGTTGCTTCCTTTAGATCCCGTGAAGTGAGACAGAGCTGGGAGAGGGATGTGGGCCAGAGGCACTGGGGATGCAGGGAGGAGGAGAAGAAATGACCCCCCTGGGGACCCGAGCCCAGTGTATGGGGGGGTTGCAGGCTCCCTGAAACTAGAAGCCAGATGAATTGATACCTGTATAGAAGTCAGTGCTGCCAGAACAGGATATAGGGAGGTTTTGCTATTGAACAAGGTATTCTGTGAGTCTCTGTGAAGGTAACTGTGACTGGTTTCCAAGCTGGTTTTGGAGATGGGCTACAATCCATGTCAGAAGCGCTCCATATAAAATACCAAAATTATTGACCATATTATTGGCAGAAAAGAGGGTCAGCTGCAGCTGATTGTAATGGGTTCCTTCTGGCTTTAACAATTTGACTTTCATTTCTGTTCCAAATGCTGTTGGGTTCAGAAATTAGTAATTTGTTCTCCAGGATACCAGTTGCTGAGAAGCAAAGGAGGGAAGGCAGCAGAGGAAACTTGGGACTGCTTGCCCTAAGTAATGCAGGGAGATAATGACTATGTGATATTTGTTTAACAAAACAAAACGAGACTCCATGGAGGCTTGTCTCCCTTCTTGGTAAAGGCCAGAAACCCCTGGCTGTTGTTTGAGGAGGCCACAGATGTGACCTGGCAGCAATTTGTCCTTGCCACAGTGGGATTGCGAAACCCCTTACTTCTTTACAGACACCAGTCATTATGCTGCAGCCCTTTGGGTGGGATTGAACCTGGGACTGCACCCCTGTGCTCAGGTAGCCAAAGTATGAGACCTTTGACTTTGTTCCTTTGGTCGGAGCCTTCCTCTTTGACCCTGACTTCTCGGTTCACCCCACGGATGCCAAAGATCTGTGACTCTGACTCTGTTTATTTATCTATCTCTTTATCAGGAGGTGAAGATCTTCCGTGCCTTAATCTTAGGGGAGCTGGAGAGGGGCCAAAGCCAGTTCCAAGCACTGTGCTTCGTCACACGGCTTCACCGCAACGAGATCATCCCCAGTGAGTCGATGGCAAAGCTGCGGCAGGTAAGGGGCACCCTGCACTGGTGTCAGGCCAGCTCCATCCTCCAGTTCATCATGGGTTTCTTAGAGCTGTCCTGCCTGGATGCTCTTCCCAGACAGCTGCCCAGTGGTTCACCTACTAGACCCACCTTTGACCACCCTTCCCGCTTGAGGGGACTTGGTATTAAACTAAGTTAATCAATAGCATTGATCCTGACCTAGTAATAAACTAGCAGGAGGCATGATTTAGCTCTTCTGTATCAAAGGGGAAGTGGACGGCTGGAGCAATCACCATGAAAACCCTTGCCCCACATTGCCCGATGAACTAAGTACGGATTTGAGGCCATTCATCACGACAAAGCACTGAGAAACAATCACAGGCAAATCAGAGCAGCGATAAACTGTCATCAGTTTCAGCACCAACAAGAAGGTTTAAGTGCCTTCCATCCAGACAGGATGCATTTACCCATTTATATACCTCCTTATGTCGGTGTGAAATAGCAATGTACTATAAGGAATAGTTTGTGGCAACCAGGATTCAAGTTTTCATTGTTTTCACCCTCTGCAGAAGAATCCCAGGACGGTGCGGCAGGCTGAGGAGGTGCGGGGCCTGGAGCACCTCAGCATGGACGTGGCTGTCAACTTCAGCAAGGGGGCCCAGCTCAGCTCTCACATCCACAATGTCTGTGCAGAGGCCAAAGAAGCAATTTACACCCGAGAAGAAGATGTCAAATTCTGGCTGGAGAAAGGTAAGTTTCCTTCAGTTTCAGTGGAACTGCTCCAGTCGGCAAGTTGGAGCTCTCTTGTGATCTCCTGCCAGGCTCCTGGTGATCACCACAGATCACTTTGGCTTCTCTTTCAGTGTGGATAAGGCACGTGTGTCACTTGTTGGCACGTCATGTTGCACTAGTCTTGTTTCTTAGCCCCTGTGACTTCTTTAGGTGGTGCTCTCCTAGTGAACCTAATTAGGCAGGTATTTTCAAGATAACTTTTCACCTGGTCCATCACCCGAAAGAAATATGTTGTTTACACATTCTGTCTTATCTTTTGGCTTATTTTCCCTACGGCCCTTTCTCCTCCCGTGGTTCCTAATCAAACTCCTGATTGGATCACTGGGTGGCATGAGTTTCAACAAGGGCAAGTGCCAGGTTCTGCACTTGGGCCACAACAACCCCCTGCAGCGCTACAGGCTGGGGGAAGTGTGGCTGGAGCTGCCTGGAGGAAAGAGACCTGGGGGTTCTAATTGACAAGCGGCTGAGTATGAGCCGGCCGTGTGCCCAGGGGGGCAAGAAAGCCAACAGCATCCTGGCTTGGATTAGAAATAGTGTGACCGGCAGAAGTAGGGAGGTGATTGTGCCCCTGTACTCGGCACTGGTGAGGCCACACCTTGAGTATTGTGTCCAGTTCTGGGCACCTCAATACAAGAGAGATCTCGAGGTGCTGGAGTGAGTGCAGAGGAGGGCAATGAAACTAGTGAAGGGCCTGGAAGACAAATCATATGAAGAGCGGCTGAAGGAGCTGGGACTGTTTAATATGAGGAAGAGGAGGCTGAGGGGAGACCTCATCACTCTCTACAACTACTTGAAAGGACACTGTAGAGAGGTTGGGGCTGGTCTCTTCTCACAGGTAATTAACGACAGAACAAGAGGAAACGGCTTCAAGCTCCAACAGGGTAGGTTTAGACTGAACATTAGGAAGGAATTTTTCACAGAGAGAGTGGTCGGGCATTGGAACAGGCTGCCCAGGGAGGGGGTGGAGTCACCATCCCTGGATGTGTTTAAGGGCCGTTTAGATGGGGTACTGAGGGATATGGTGTAGGGGAGGACTTTGTAGAGTAGGGGAGATGGTTGGACTCGATGATCCCAAGGGTCTCTTCCAACCTCAATGATTCTATGATTCCTGTCCAAACAGTGCACTCTGGTTCTCCAGGGCTGTCCCGGAGCCTGTGCACAGCGAGCAGCTCTCTCTGTGGTGGCTCTCTCCCTCGGCCTTGCCTTCTCGTCAGCGCCCTGAGCCGTGTCTCTCTGCTTTCCCCCGCAGGGGTGGATGGCTCCATGTTCGAGGTCCTGCCGCAGACGTCAGACCTCCCCGACCTGCAGCGCTGCAGGCTGTGTGGGGACCGCTGGAAGCCCTGCATCTGCAGCTACTCGCTGAGCATCGAGTGGTACCCCTGCATGCTCAAGTACTGCAAGAGCCGCGATGCCGGCGGCAAGGTTTCTTCGTACAAATGTGGCATCCGCAGCTGCCAGAAGGGCTACACCTTTGATTACTACGTGCCGCAGAAGCAGCTGTGTCTCTGGGACGAGGAGACCTAGCAGAGCCAGGCCAGGCCTTTCCAAGGGGCGGCTCATCTGCCTCCTGCCACCCTTTATGATGCTGAGGGCCTCCTGGAGCTGGCTGCTCCAAAGAAGGAACGCGGTTCACAGCGGTGCCTTGTACCAGGAGAGCTCTCTGTGTGTGCCTTTCCTTCTGGCCCCTGTGACTCCCTCCCCACCTGATGCTGCCTCATACTGTGAGAAATGGGCTCAGCTCACCACGTGTTGATGTTCTCCTGCCAGCTGCCAGGAGGTACGGCTTCCTGGAGGAAGCAGGTTTCTGGGGTGAAGCACTGGGGGGAGGGTGTTTTGCCCCGCTCTGGAGGTAGCAGATGTGAAAGGGGGCAGCTCTGGTCAGTTATCAGCCTCGAGCATCCTGATGAGTGGGCAGGGCAGGGAGAGAAATGGTCTTGATGACCTGGGTTGTCAAACATCTCTGCCACTGAAGAAGCCCCTTCATTGACTTCACCTCGTGGTGACGCAGCAGCGTTTCCCAATGGGAAAACAGCTGATTTTTGGGACCACATACCCTGAACAAGGAAGGTACGAAGCCTACCCAAAGCCTGTAGCTTTTTCTAGTGCCCGACTGGCTGTTTATATCCTTCCTGTGGCTAGAAGGTACAATGGGGGGATATATCCCAGCAATGACTTCTGCCCCTAAAGGGCTCGTGATTTGGGCTCTAATTAATCCCTGTTTAGACTAGTGAAGGCCCAACTTTTTATGTTGGCCCTGTGACTCTCCCACTAGGAAAGAAAACACCCAGAGACTTGTGACTACCATCATAACATTGTGGTTGCAGGTGGGGGAGGATGATCCCAGGTGGGTTCACGCTGTCATTTTGAAGAAGACAACATCCTACATCTACGTCCAGTTTTGTGTCCTACTCTGCCAGCTATTCACAAGAAGCTCTTAGATAATTGTATTGCTTTGCTGTGCCTTGGTTTCCCCCATATGTAAAACAGGGACCACACTGAAGCTGACCTTGGCGCTGGTATATACCTGGAGGGCGTCAGACAAAAAGCACTGCAGGAGTGAGTGCTGCCTGGTTCCTGTGTCCTCTCCCACTCAAATCAGAACACGCAGGGAGGGGAGAGAGAGGCTGTTGGGGTCGTTGTGAACCCCCGTACCTCCTGGTGAAAAGCCTTCACGATGTGCCTTTTTGTCTAAAATACGGGAATTTTTGACACAGAATTTGGTCACAATTATTTTTGTATTGATCACTTAAGGGGGGAGAAGGGAAAGGTATTTTAATATTGCAACATGAAGTAAAACACACTTGGAATGATTTTTTTAAGACAAATTATTTATCATTTGTAAGGTAAAATAAACTGATTTTTTTTTTTTAAAAGCATCTCTGGCCTAAAAGCTTCTTTGTGCATTGTAATCTGTGTGTGATCCCGTTGGTTGGGTTCTTGATCAAGAGTTGCTCCTTTCTGGGTAAGCCTCAAGCCTTGACACTGAAGACCCATGGATGGAGGGGAACATCCTGCTGTGCAGTGTGACCACAGCACTTGCCAATGTGCTCCTGCATCCCGAGCATCTCTGTCCACCCAGCCCCTCGGCAGGGAGACAGCTTGGACTCATCTCAAGCAACCGTGGAAGCATCAAGCCTGAGCTGTGGTGAAGAGCAGCAGCAGGGGCAGGTCCTGGGGTTGGGCAGGCTGGTTCCTTCTTTTCTCTCCGAGTGATGGTGGGGTCCCATAAGGGGAAATTATGCAGATGTGGCTGGAGGCTTGTCTGGGTCCAGCGGCCTCAAGAAAGTGTTCTTTGTCTACTCCTCTGCAGCCATAGCTGGGGGGGGATGAGGGCGGTGGAGTTTTGGGCCAGCTCTTAGCTCGGTGGCTGCTGGAGGGAGAAATGTGGAGTGCTGATTCCCCCTAGTGTGGCGAATGCAGAGATGGGACAAGGACTCCTGCAGCCTCAGCCCAGGGCAGCTTACCCCTTTACTGGGATTTCTGGGGAAGCTGAAATGGCTTCTTTTTTGCTTACGTGGCCAGCATTTACAGAGGAGGATGTTCTCTGCTGCAGCGGGACACTGTGGGACTTTGTCCCCTGCTTCTGAGGGTTAAATCCAGCTGTGTGGTGGGCTGTGAGCAGAGCAGGAGAGGATCCCGGGGCGGCTGCGTGGCTTTCAGCGGGGAGCCCTGTGTGCCCCATTTCCACTGTTGCCCCCTGTACCGGGCTGCTGGGAGGGCACGTGGGCTTACTCTGGGTCACATCCCGGCAAGTTTGAATGCACTTATTTTGTAGCCATCAGGCTCTGGGGTACCTGGGCCACGAAGACATCCCAGATCCTTTCCTGGATCTTTTTGGCAGCACCGAGCTGGGAGTGTTCCCGGGCCCCCTCAGGAAAGCAGGATGCTGCACAGCAGCACCAAACCATCGCCTCGACCCTGTGGGGGGATGGAGGAGCCTTTTAGAGCTGGCCCCGTGTCCAGCAGTGCGGGCCGGGGGGTGTTTGGAGCTCCTGCCCGCAGCAGGGTCGGTGCTGTGTCCTGGGGGCAGCAGCCAAGTGATGGATGCGGGACCCAGATAGCGATGGGCAGGGGACAGGGAGCTCAACTCTGGGTTTGGGGGGGAGTGATAGGGGTCAGAAAGGTGGGTTTGGGGGGGAATTTGGGAATGGTGTGGGGCGACGGGCCTGGGCTGGGGGCTGTGCTGGGGCTGGGGGCTGTGCCCGGGGCTGGGGGCTGAGCC